TGTGTGTGTGTGTGTGTGTGTGTGTGTATTTAAATATATTCACTGTGAAGGGCATCCAGAGTTCTGATCCTTGCAAGGGACAGTGAACAAAGCATCCAGCTCTTCAGCCCCAATTCTTTTTGGTTAGTTATTAAAATAATTCAGCGGGGCGCTGAAAAGTGTTCTGTTTTGTATACAAAGGGTGGGAGGTTCAAGTCATGCCTAATCCTGGCATGATTTGCAGAGGAGGAAATCAGGCTAGATGATCCCTTCTGGCGTGAGGGTTTGAGTCTGCATGGAAGCCAACGGGAGTCTTTGCAATGCCTCCAACAGCGCTTGGAGCGGGCAGGTGTCCACTTCTGGTAAGGATCACATCAAAACTAGCAATGACTGGCAAACTGACAGCATCAGCAAGGAGTGGCCAAAACCTGAACTGCCAGCTGTGCTTACAGTGCATCTTTCGAGTGAGACCAGTCAGAAAACACATGTCATCCTGTAAGATGTGTTACTGCTCTTTTCCATTCAAGTGGGATTTAAAAAAAATAAACACCCAGAATTTAGACAGTAATCAGCTAGATTTGGTCAATCAGAACACCATGTTCTAGTAAATATGAAAGATTTCAGATTATTTTGGTCATTTTGATTTGCAAGGATTAACGTGGCTATTTTTCCAGTGAGTAATTGCATTTGCAGAGGAGAAAATGATGTTGCAGTGCTGATGGAAACCATGGGACTGGAAGGACCTTCTGGCTCTTGTCAGAATACTTGCCAAAAATGTCATTTCAGTCAAGTAACCAAACAAAGCACGGCTTCTGGGGTAGGGGGTAGCAATTCACAATAATCAACATCAACAACAACAAAATGCAAATTCCATCTTCTCTTCTCTATTTCTCTAGTTTGGAGTGGCCCAAGGTTTGCAGGGGAGCGTCAGCGTAACTTCAGTGCCGTGCTGAGCTAGGGACTTTTCAGGTGCACTTTCTGTATGTCAATAAATAAGGCATATCTTAAAAATAGAAAGTGTGATTATAAGTGGCAAAAATTGGCAGAAAGGACTTGGTCAGATGCAGTTTTGGAACGGCTTTTAATTTTTTTTTGATGTAATTCCAAGGTAAAAAGTCCCTTTAAATTAATTAGAGCAATCACAGTGCCCCTAGAACATCAGCAGAGAAATTGAAGTCAGGAGTATAATTTTAATATTTTCTGAATTCTGAAGAAAGCTAGAAAAGCCAGCTGAAGGAAATCTTTAGGTACAATAAGAAATAAATTCCTGACCAAACTGGCTAAGCTGAAATGTCTGAAAGCAAAGACGTATCATGAAAGTGCTGGAAAGCTGCTGATTATAATGGAATCAGTGTCCCAGGGTATAATGCAGCTCTGCATTTAATATTGAGCTACTGAACCATGCATCTCAGCCTAGCTGAACTCACTGGGTTCTCATCAAACTCCTGTAACGACGCTGGGCTCTGTTTAGATGCCAAGCAAGTCTTGAAATAGCCCCAGAGCTTTTTTAGTAGCTTTAGCAGAGAACAGAGCTCTGGCTTTAGAATGACAGACACTGCCCAGAGTTGGCAGCGCATAAACCCTTCCTTACGTATATCGCCATGCTCGAGAATAACCCTTCCGTATGTACGTTGCCATGCTCAGTAATAATCTTATGAACTTTATATTCAGTTTTATAAACCTAGTTAAAAGGTTTATGCACACTAAGGGATGAAATTGAGGCAACTGCACTGAACAGCAAAGCAGAAGCCTGTCCTGCGTACTGCAGATCCCCATTGCCTTCCTTTACTGGTGGTACGCACTGTTAGCGGTACACACGTTTAATTCTATGCCTGCTCTCGTTAGCTTGCTTGTTTTTATCATGGTATTGACTGGAGTCCCCATCGTGTTAGCTATAGTCGGAGCACGTTGTTCTAAGCAGGTTTTTTTCTTTCTACGTGTTGTTTAAAGTATTAGTATCGCCAGAGCGGGGGGGAAGGCGTTTGCGTTCGTTTAAGTACACGAGTAGTTATATCAATTTCCGTCCATTAAAGGCACATGCAAACACACGCACGCACGTGAACGTAGACATAAAGAGCGGCTGCAGGATGCTGCAGGTGTGGAATTGGATGAGACTGGAAGGCTGCCATTTGCGAGACCCTTTCCACCATGGAGGTCCCGTCTCTGTGAGCAGCTCGGGGCTGGAGCATCTCTCAGCCTGCGTGCAGTCTGGCTGAGGGTGGTGAGGCTCTGTGCCCGCCTTGGGATGAGACTCTGCAAAGAGGTTTGCAGACTTCCAGGCCAGTTATTTAAAATGCTTGAATATGCTTTGTTTTTTGAAAGGGCGTAATTTCAAACAGTTTTTTCTTTTTAAAACAGAAAATTCTTAGTTGCGTTACTGTTTTACGTTTTGAAAACAAGTTGCTAGTTTGGGTGGGTTTTTTGGGTGGGTTGGTTGGTTGGTTTTACAGCTCAGATAATTGTTGAGTATGAGCAGGAGGGTTATTTGAGTAGTTCGTTTAAAGCAAACAAAGTTTTCAGCAAACCCAAAGGTAGAGCAACCATTTTGCTAATGGCTTTGATGCTGTTTTTGCTCCAAGTCTGGGAAATGCAGCATGGGCTCCAGCACTTTGAAATGAAACCTAGAGCTTAATCGTGCAGATGTCCCATGATTGGCTTCATTTATTTAGAAGCACAGAATCAGGTGGTAATATATGTGTGCTTTTTATTTATTTATTTGGAAACCTGCCCTTTGTTTCTATCCTCCATTCCTGTTCCTTAGGGAGCTTTTCCAAAGGTCACTCTCTTACCACATGGTCCATGCCTTCAGTCTTAGTCCTGAATATCCTATATAAGAGACAGTTACTAGCACATAGACAATCTTGCCGTGGTGGATTCTGCTCATGTTGTACAGAGGCCTTGGACCTAATCTCTGGTTTGAGTTGTGAAAAAATCATCTCTTGGTGTATCTTTTATACTTACTGTGAATTTCTGCTCAAGTTTAATAAAACTGAAAAGAATCTTTACTCCTTAATTTTCTACTTTTCAGACTGGCATTTGTGATAAACTCGAGTTGAAACAGAAATGTGATAAATTCAGTAAGCCGAAACAGAATTTTTTTTTTTTTTTGCAAAGTTTGTGTTTTCTCAAGTACCAGGCTCTCTTAGTAAAGCAGCCATTGCGGGAGAAATGTGGAACGGCTAAAAGCAGACCATTTCTAACGTGTTTTTCATGTGTCTCTTTCAGTCTATCAGAGAAGTCACAGGCTACGTTTTGGTGGCTTTGAATCAGTTTGAATACCTGCCACTGGAGAACCTGCGCATTGTTCGTGGGACCAAACTCTATGAAGACAGATACGCTCTGGCCATATTTCTTAACTACAGAAAGGATGGTAACTTTGGACTCAGGGAACTTGGCTTGAAGAACTTGACTGGTAAGTGAAACTTGTAAACGTGGTGGATTAGTCGTAAGAAAAAACAAGCTTGTTGAATATTTGCCCAAATATCATTGTGTTCTGTGAACAACGGAGCTACCAAGAGGGGCTGGCGGTTGTACATACTTGAAAAACTGGTCAGTGCTTAATTTGATTCCTTTTTTTTGGTTTGCAAATGCACTTTTCTCAGTATTGAGCAGAGACCGTATCTGGAATTCATACCCCAAGCATATTTAAAACAGTTCTTGAAAGAGTAGACGCATTTCTACAAAGTTTTTAGTTTTGAGAATGTGAGCATGCTGGTCTCCCAGCGATCCTTGGTTATTGTGTATACGTTGCTTCAGGTGTTCTGTATTTTCTGGCACAGAAGTTTAACTTTTGCATCCCCTCAAAAGATAATTGGGTTTTCTTCTGTTCCCATTGCTGTCTCTGGCACCGTTGCTGCTGCACTGGCAGGGGGCAGGCTGTACATTTGATGTATTTGATTTTAGAACTCCTTTTTCAAAGGAAAAATAATGCATTATATACACAGAGAAAAATGCTTATTTTCTTAAGACAAAAATGTAAGCCAAGTCCATGTTTTTGTGTTCATTTGTGAATTAGAGGCTGGATCATGATAAGAACTGAATCTTATCGTATCGTGATAAGATAAGAATTTTATTTCTCCCAACAGAGGGTCTGCAGTGAGTGGTATTTGGGAGATGAAAAGTTGGCTAAATATCACTGGGCTGCTATTTAATATGATGCAAGCAGCAGCAAACTTCTCTAGAGAGTTCACTGAAAGTATTTTATTTTATACCTGGTCCCTTATAAAAAGAGGGCATCAACTGTAATCATTTCCACCTTAAGCTTTTGTGATTGTGTAGCGGACTTATTTCTGCTCGTGGCTAAATGCAGAGCACAGATCACTGCTCTGAGCTGGATGTGGAGTTTGAACCTGAAAACACAGAGGTGGAAGCCTTTTGAACTATATTTGGGCACCCTTCTCTCTTGGCTTTTTTCATGTTACCGTGTTAAGGATGGCACACAAGTGCCTACAGCTCCCCGTTGTTCAAGCCTCCCTGAGTCGTACAGATATATACTTTCAAAACCAAAGGAGGGAAAAGGAGACTTGAACTATTTTATGAAATAAAACACAACTGTGGCTGACTCTTTCTGGCCCGTTTTTTTCCTTCTAGTCAGTTTTCTAATGATTTTCTTTACTGAGACTATCATGCTGGTAGCAGAGTGCTTCCCAAGGTCTCTAAAGCCCTCCCACCTACTACTTTTCTCTCTTTCAGTGTCATAATCCAATTTCTTCCTCCTCTCTTCGCGCATTTCTTCCTATCCTTCTGATTTAAGGTGTTCATTGTGGCTGTGTCTGCCTTCCCGTAACTTAGAGCCGTGGCGTCACGCACTAATAGCATTAGCTGGTTCTTTGTACACTTTTTCTTGTCTATGGGTCTCCAAATGCTTTACCAAAGACACTGGACAGGATGAATCTGAGTCAGAGAGGTGACGTGTGGCCAAGGCCAGAGGAGGACTGCAACCCTTGCCTCTTGGGTCTCAGACTATTGCCGCACCAGGTGGTGAGGCTTGTATTTTCAGTGCTTTTTTAGCCGTGGCTTTGCTGCTTAGCAAAGTGAAAAACCTTAATTTGAAGGCTCCTGGCTCAAGGCTTTGCTCTTGAAGCAGCTGACATGCTCCAGTTCAGTTTGACTCTAGAGATTCTCTCAGGAAGCCACTTCTCGATGGTGGGCGCAGCACCAAAACTCTCCAGCAAATAGCGTGACTGTGCTTTCAAATGACAGGAGAAAACTTGCCTTAGCTCAGCCTCTGAATCTGTCTTAACATGAGATAATCACAGTCAGTTCATCTGATTAAGGCGTTTACAAAGCCTTCTGATGGGATTATTTGGCTCAAAATGTATTGTTGTCTCTTGGAGAAAAGTGCCCTAATAACATTAGCTTGTCTCCACGGAGTGCTTAAAACGGCTTCTGGGTGCTGAATATAAGCCAGTGTGTGCTTCGGAATACCCTTAATATTTTTTAGATAGCAAGTGCCAGGGCTCCTGAGTCTCTCTAGCAGCTGTTCTTTGACCATTTTTTTATACTGGTTAAAACGCACCTGGCTATTTTAACCCACAACCTGCTGCTTTTTGCAAATGCTCTCCCTGGAGCATGTTAATACTTAATTTATTTTCCTAACACATCCTTAGCCTTAATAGCTGCATAAAAATAACTGGTGGTTGTGGGAGTTGGTGCTGTTGCAAGGCCATGATAAATCAGCTGTGACTGGATCTTCCCTGTGTGTACCAACTGCTCCATATTAACATCAGAAGAGATCAGTGATTTGTGCTTAATTTAAGATGAAGCAGTCCCTGTCAGCTTCTATCCCTGAAGCTTCTGGTCCACTGCAGGTTTCAAGAGACTGGCTTTGAACGGCGTTGTCTCTTCCAGTTGAGTAAAGGATAAACGTAACTCCTGCCGTGTGTGTAAAGAACCACCTTTCTGGGGGCTTATGCCTGGTTCAGAAAAGTTTGGGGAATTCTGTTCTTATTTGTGCAACGTCTGGATGATGGGATCCTGATGTAATTTCTGCCCAGCGCTGCACAATAATGTAGAGATAGAAACAGTATCCCCTGTGCTACATAAATAAGGAAGCTGCTCCCACCTGTAGATTATCCTCAGACTCAAGCGGAGACAGGGTTACAGCCTCCCATCAAGTACCGTTGCATTGCTTTCAGTGTGTTGTTACCAGCTGTGCTTTTATTGTCAGATATGTCTGTCAGGTTTTCATATTTAAATACAACTTTAAATGCTTGGTTTTCCTCTCCTACACTATAAAAAAAATGACAGCTCTGAAAGCAATAAGTTTTAGGCGACACAGAAGGCTCGACTCAGCTGCCAGTTCTCACTTAGGCTATCTATCAGCCTTAAAGGGAGTTTTGCCGGTGCGGTACACGGTCAGGACCGGGTCCTAAAATTCTGGTGACACTTCCAAAAAATCCTGCCTGTCAGAACGCATTTCTCACTTGCAGTTATAAAAATGTTGCCAGTGATTCCACAGAAGTGTCAAAAACAAGCAGACATTGAACTAACGAAGTGGCTGCTGCCATCTCAGCTGGATTCCCCTTTGCTGGTTGCCGAGTAGCCTTAAAATAAAGTGCAGGTTTGACATAGTGAACATATTATACAGTCTGCGATTAACAATACCCAGGGCTGAGGGGGAGGATGTGCCACCATCTTCCATTCGCTGCGTGTTAGCTAGTGCAAATCATTGCTGTCTTCCCCGTGCAGCTAGGCAGTCAACCTTAACTTACCCAATGAAAGGGTATAATCATTGTTCCCACTTTGAGTACTTCAAATAGAGCGAATACCTGATGGCTGTGTTTCATTATGGCATTTATCTTTATGAGTGGGTAAAGGTGAAGAAGGATAACTCACAAGTGCCAAAACCACTTACGAACTACCCCATATTTTACTCTGAGTGAAGATGAATAACAGAGATCTGCAGCAAATGATACATCTTTGAATGGGCAGTGATACCATCATCTCCCCTACTGGCCCTGGGGACAGAGGTTCCCCTGCATGTGTCTGTGTAACCCTTGCATTTCTTAATATATTGGAATAAAATGAACTTAGCAGGGATCCGTTCCATAACACATAAAAGCGGCAAATTTTGCAAGTTCTCACTGTCTTGTTTTGCAAAAATGCAGATAAATGGGGACAATGGAGGTTCAAATGATAAATGCACATTGCAGCCCGAAGGATTGATTGGTGATGGTCAAAGAAAGGCACTCTGTCTTGATGGGCAGGAAAATACATAGGAGAAGGTTCTTTGTTAGGTTTAGAAATTGATCTCCTGTTCATTTCCCCTTCTCCTACAGGTTTTTGTGATTATTAAAGTTTTATTAAGTTTGTTTTACAGAGCAATGTTTTGTTCACTGTGCACATTTTGGACCTACGGCACTTTTGCAGATCTTGCCCAGATATCCATCCAGAGCCTGAGTTCCTTCAGCGTCGCGTGATTGTACGTAAAGCTTTTTCATGTTGGGGATTAAGGCCCCCTTTTTTATTGCTGCGGTGGCGAGACCATCACCCTGTTTTAGCGAGGCCTTTCCTTGGACCGTACACCTCACACAAGCCGCACGGTGGGCAGAGATGTGCACCCCCGTGCATGGCAGCCAGCCGGAGTGCCTGAGCCTGGGCTACGCCAGTTGTGGCGTATTCCTTAATCACAGTGGCTTCGCGCTGATGGGGAGAGAGGGGAAGAAAGCAATATGTAATTTGCCTCCGGCATGCTACACAACAGGTGGGCAAGGCAGCGCATCTCTAACCTCAGAGAGGTGTTGCTAGGATACAACGAGGAAGGAGGAATTTGTTTTAAAAATCCCCTTGGTACCCTGTGCCTTCTGGGCTGTTGCAGGAGTTAACATTTTCTGCGGAAAAAAGCCACGGCGGCTCTGCATCTCCTTGCCCTATATCCTGCCGCTGCAGGTACCGTGGAGGCGTTTGTATCCCGGCACATCTTTACTGACCGGCCCGGTGGGTAGAACAACAGAGGGAAACGCTTTGAGCGCAGCTTATTGCTTCCCTCGGGAGAGGAGAGCTCGCTTCCGCCGTGGCGCAGCCCTCGGGGGCATGGGGCACCAGGGCAGCTACTCGCAAGGCTGGGGCTGCCCCGTGCCCTTGGCATCAGCGGCTGGGGGGGGCTCCCAGGGCTTGGCATCAGCGGCTGGGAGCGCTTCCAAGTGCTCGGAGGCTCTCTGCCGCAGACGTGGCCCAAAGGAGTCCCAGATGCGGGACCCTCCGGGCTGAGCAACGACTGCCTCAAGCCAGCAGAAAATTGCTCACAGGTGGCGCCAAGGCAAACGGGTATATAGTGTATACGGTCAGAAATAAATAGTGATTTTTGAGCCCCGAGAGATTTACCCTCATCTGTTTATTATGTTCAGTAGCAAGAGCTGAGTTTTGTTTTCTCGTTTCGGTAAGGCGAGGATTTTACACGTCGTCTCTAAA